CCGTCCCCCGTCCCTCCCCCATATCTCTTCCTAATCCAGTTGCCTTCGGCCCGTCCCGCCATCGTGCCTGGGTTGTCGGTCGGAGGTCACTTGGATGCCTGGATGCTTGTGGGGATCTATTGGGAGAGCTCTCGGAAGCCTCTTGGAGGCGGTTTGGGGCGTGTTTAGGGGCGTCTCAGGGTGCCTCTTGCTAGGATCGCCGCAGGGGTTGCTAAGAGGATAGGGGGATACAAGTGGATACTAAGGAGGGTTTTATTCAGCCAAACCCAGCTTAGAAGTGGGTTGCACGTGCCCTACGTGGCTTAAGGGCATACAGATCTGGGCTAAATGGGCGGAGCCAACTTAGCGGAGTTACCTCATCATCTTTAGCCACATAGGGCACGTGTAATGCACTTATAAGGTAGTCCAGGCCAGATAAAACCCACTTTAGCTTCCACTTCTAACCCCCCCTATCCCCTTAGCAACCACCGCGGCGATCCAAGTGGGGCCTAATTTGGGTTTCTCGGGGCCTGTTGGGGGCCTCTTGGGGCCTCTTGGCGGCACCTCGGGGGCCTCTGGGGGGTCTTGGGACCCTCTTGGGGCGTGGGGCTCAACATGTCAGCTCGTGCTCTTCCTCTCGGGCCCTGGGCCTCTTGGGCCTCTCTGTGGGGCTCTTGGGCAGCTTCTGGGCGATCTTGGGCGCCTCTTGGGCCGTCTTGGACGCTCTGAAAACCAAAATGGCGGGAATGCTTGAACCATGCGCAAGCCAACCGACTTTGGCTTCCAAGACGGCCCAGGAGGCGCCCAAGATGGCTACCGGACGGTCCTCGGGGCCATTTTGGGCCATGTTGCACTTGCACGTCCCGAACAACGCGCTGTTGGCCTCTGGAAAAGTCTTGCGGGGATCCCCCAGTAGCGTCCAGGAGCGCCCAGGAGTGCCTGGAACTTCTGGCAGCGGCCGCCGTAGAGAATATTTGAAGTATTTGATGCAGGGATTCGCAGTGACTTGAGGACGCTCCACTTCGTGCCAGATGCACGGTGGCGAATCAAGAATTCTTCCCTGTCGCATCACCATACGCGTCGGTAGGGTGGGCCAGGCATTTCGCTTGAGACTTCCTTACCACCGATGATCCGGAAACTTGACATGTTGAGCAGGTTCATACATGGAGGGTCTTAGCGCTGCGCGTAATCGTCTTAAACTGCTGCAGCAGTTTGCAGGACGGATGGGGGGTGCCAGGGTCAAAATGGGGCTCTTGCCCTAGCGCTTTGAGTAGTTGTCTCAATAAGTTTGCAGCAGCTTCAAGGATAGAGGGGGTGGTATTCAAAATTGGGCTCTCGTCTGAACGCCGCGCGCAATCGTCGTACGCGCTTCGCAGCAGTTTCAAGGACGGAAGGAGGTTTCATTTTTTTTTTTTTTTTTTCCATGGGGCTCTCGCCTTGGCACCGCGCACATTCGTTTTGAAAACTTGCAGCAGTTTCACGGATGGACGGACGGTGGTTTTCGAAATCGGGCTCTCACCTGAGCGCCACCCGCATTCGTTTGAAACTTTTGCAGCAATTTCAAGGATGGAGGGATCGTGCTTTCAAAAGGGGCCTCTCGCCTAAGGGCTGCGCGCATTCGTTTTGAACGTTTGCAACTGTTTCGAGGACGGAGGGGTGGTGGTGGTGGTGGTGGTTTTCACACTGGGGCTCTCGCCGTAGCGTCGATCTCATTCGTTTTGAAAGTTTGCAGCAGTTTCAAGGATAGGGTAATGTCTCTATTCAGGACGGAGGTCTCGCCGTATCGCTGCGCGCATTTATATTTATATATATATATACAGATATGCAGAAAAACACTTTGAAGGATGGAAGGGGGCGGCTTTGTGAAAGGGGCCCTCGCCCTAGCGCTGGGCGAAGTCGCCTTCAAGTTTTGTCAAGACGGGGCTCTTGCCCTAGCGCCGCGGTCAATCGTCTCAAACAGATTGCAGCAGATTCGCGGATGGAGGGAGTGGTTTTCAGAATGGCGCTCTCGCCTGAGCGCCGCGCGAAATCGCCTTACACGTGTTCCAACGAGAATTTGGCACATCGGTGACGGCTGCACGGATGTATTGCGTTTCGTTTTCAAAATGAGACGATCGTTTCAGATATTCTCGACGCCCACGAGCAGAAGTGCAATCTTGTGCAGGAGTTGCGCAGATGTGGGCGTTATATATATATATATATTGATGAAAACAGTGATTTCGCTGGACACCTCGTTGAGCTTCATAATCATACCTTTGTGTACTCTTCATTATTTGCTAGATTTAGGTCGTGCATGTCCCTCTACAGGCGGATGGATTTTGGACGAACAATAAAACATACAAAACAAATGCTCAACAAGTACTCAAACATGGTCAACATTTCGTCCCCAGATTTTTTTGTCTATTTTTGAACATTTCCCCTTTAGAGGGGCAGGCCCGACTTAAGGGTAGATAGATGCAGCGCAGTTTTCAGAACGGGCTCTCGCCTGGACGGCAGGCCCATCGGGTGCTGGTCATTCACAGGGTTTCTTTCCTGAGGCGGACGAGAGGCGCGCGGGGAGCTACGAGGAGGGGACCTGGGGCGGGAGGGTCTATTGCAGCACGGCTGACGCATCTCGAGTTTACTCTGGTTCTCCTCTTCCTCCTCCGCCTCTTCGTCGTCGTCGTTGCCGTCGCTGTCGCTGTCGTCGCCGCCGTCGCCGTCGTCGTCGTCGTCGTCGTCGTCGTCGTCGTCGTCGTCGTCGTCGTCGTCGTCCTCCTCCTCCTGAGACCCCCGACGTCGTGTTTTTCTCTTGGTCGACCTCCAGAGGGTTGGACCCCTTCCCCGGGATCAGTTTTTCATCCTCAGTCGTTTTTTGACACTCCCGTGGCCTGGTAAGGCCCCCGGAGGCCGAATATAGCGCAAAAACTTCCCGTCGCGTTTTTTTCAAAACGCGAGGGGGGTCTGGGTCCTCCTCCTCCTCCTCCTCCTCCTCCTGCTCTCCTCCTCCTCCTCCTCCTCCTCCTCCTGCTCCTCCTCTTCCTCCTCCTCCTCCTCCTCTCGCCTTCCCTCCTCCCGAAGGCCGCGGTGTGCATCCAGCGCCACCACCGTGGGCACTCCGCGCGGGGGCGGCTGCGCGCGGCGCGAGCCCGCGGGGACGCGGAGGCCGGGCGGCTGCGGGAGCCCCCCCCGGGGCGGTGGCGCCCAAGCGACGCCTCTGAGTCAGACCCCCTTCGCGCTGTGGCCAAATCACGGCCTCCTCCTCCTCCTCCTCCTCCTCCTCCTCCTCCTTCTCCTCCTCCTCCTCTCCCTCCCCCTCCTTCTCGTGTTGGGCGGATTTTCGCTATTTTCGGCCTCCGGGGGCCCTTCCTGGGCCTCGGGAGAGTCAAAACACGATTCAGCATGAGAAACCAGATCTGGGGAAGGGGTCCAGACTTCTGGGGGTCGACCTTCTGATCAACAGTTTTCCGTCGGCGGCGAGGCAGGGTTGGCTGCACCAGCGCTGGAGCTAAACGCGGGCACCGAGAAGCGAATTGGCCAGCGTGCAGGAGCGGGGAAAGGACAACCAGGGCGGCCGCGGAGGGTGGGGAGAAGAGGCCATGCAGGGTTGGAGGAGTTCTCGCCTGAGTGTGCTGGCGCGGCCGGCCCAGTCAGCGGGAACCATGGCAGCTGCCAGGCCGCGGCGCTGGGGCACCCACGGGCGATGCGGGGCCCAGTGCGTGGAAAGCAAGTGCTGCAGGGATGCTGCCGATGAAGAAGTCGAGGTACTTGGACGACAGGAAGAGGACCGCAAGGCCGCCGAGGTGGGTGGCATGTGACGAGGTACGGCAAGTTCACGACCAGTCTAGGTTTAGACTGCGTCAGCAAAATGCTGGGCCCGTGAGGGGGTGCGGGCGGCAAGACCAAGCCCCAGTGCCAAGCCACACGGGGAAGCTGCCAGCTGCGGCAGCTTCGCGAGCGCCATTGCGGCGCGCGAAGGAAGGGGGGGAACAGGCGAAGGGCGGCGGGGAGGGGGAGAGAGGGCGAGGGAGAGGAACGCCCCGCCTGTAGGGAGGTCCCCGCAGGCGGGGCGGCAGCCCAGGCGCTGGCGCCAGCCTGGACTGGAGGCAGGCGGCCCGCGCACTGTGTTGCTGCGGACACCTGCGCACTGCCCCTGGCGGCGGGGCAAGGTAGCTGGAGCACGCCCTGCGGCGGCCCAGCAGGGGGCCGCGGAACGGGCGTGCCTGGAACAATACCGCGGCCAAGGCCCGTGGGGCCGCTCGCTGCCGTGGTGGACAGTGCGGGGCTGGACTAGGGGCACCTGCCCGGTGCGGAAACTGCTATAAGTAGCGGCCGCGGCCGTAGGGAACTGCGCGCTGCCAGGGTGGACAGTGCGCGGCTGGTGCACTGAACCGGTGCGAAATCCTGTTTGACAAGGTCACAGTGGAAGGGAGTGTGCCACGCACTGCCGGGGTGGTTGGCGCGTGGCGTCTAGGGGCGTCAAGGTGGCTCAAAGGGCGATGATGAGGCTACAGTGATACGGCTGGGCGCCCCGCCCTGTTCTGGGTGCGCTGTGGGCTGCGGGTCAGCGTGCGGTGTTACATGGCAGCTTAAGGACAAGGGCCACAGGGGGCTGACCGTGGTCTGCGCAACGGCCTGGGGGGTCTGAGCTGGACAGGGGCGACGCCAGGTCAGGTTCCCACCTGGAGGGCCTGCCGTACTGGGGGAGCAGCTTGGGTGCCCGAGTCCGGCCCTGGTGTTAAGGTCTTAGATGCCGGGCAGGCCTGTCGCATCTGGACGGCGCTGCCTCGACTGGTCATTGTTGGGCCAGGTGGGGTCGCGCGCGTCTTGTCTTTCCCGACCGAGTCGTGGCCCTTTCCTTTGCCCTTGCCTTTGTCCCGCTGCTGCTCGTAGCGCCACAACTGGCGTTCCCAGACGGCGTCCCCGTCCACATGGAATCCCCGCGCTTTGCAGACCCTGCGTATGTCAAAATGTTCGTGATACAGGTCGCTCACGAGCTTCTCGCAGAGGGCGTCTTGCCCGTCGGGGTTGTAGGTCCCTCTTCCTGGGGCCCGCTTGTCCCTGGCGTCGCAGAGGGCGTTCCAACCTTGAACGAAAAAGGCTCCGCAGTCCCGCTGTAGCCTGTTAGCCCCCAGGCCAGGTCTCACGGGCTCACGGGCGCTGGACTTGTGATTCCACGCTTGGTACCAGTTGGGGCGTTCCAAAAAAAAACTTTGCCTCCGAGGATAATAAGGAGTTGTCATCTCTTCCGCCGCGGAGGGCGGCGGAAGGGCGGCGGAAGGCCTGCGGCAGTAAAGCGAGGCCGCCTCCGCAGGCGGAAGCCGACGGAAGGCCGGCGGAAGGCGGCGGAAGTTTAAAGCGCCTCCTTAGAGATGAAAGCGTTTTTGGGCACAGGGTTTCCGAATTCGGCCAGCTGATCCTCCGACGGGGCCAGATGTGTAGCGAGTCGTCGGGGCCTTTGTGGCGGGCGCAGCCAGGATCGGGCCGCGGAGCCCTGCGCCACTCGCGCGCTTCGGGGTCGGCGCGGACGGGGCCAGCGGTGGAGGAGGAGGCTCCTCTCCCCGGAGGGTTTTTCCGAAGGGCTTCGGCGACCCGTCCTCCGCCTCCTCCTCGCTCCTGCTGCTCCTCCTCCTCCTGCTCCTCCTCCTCCTCCTCCTACTCGGGTCGCCTACGGCCCCAGGGGAAACCGTCCACCTCCTCCCTGATAGTAGGCCCAGGGGTTGGCGTGTTCAGTTCATGCGCGCTGGGGTTGGCGACTGCACCCTTGGTCGGCCGCAATGGGTGACTTGCGTGCACGTCCTTCTGCGGGCTCGGTTCGGCGTCACCCCAACATATTTAGTACTGTATGTGCGTCGCCCCCCCAGGGGAGACGCGCGCATCGAGAAATCTTCTAGTATATGCGTCGTGGCGGGCGCTTTCTGGCCACACCGCTCGGGAAACGATCTACTACGATATGGGTCTGCTACATGTTCGGGTCGGACGCGCGCCTCCAAGGAGGACATACAGTATGTCCCTGTGCCTCTCATCGGTGGCTGCGGCCTGTTCTGCCACTGTGCTGCTGGTGCGGGAGGTCGCTGGGGCTGGGTGCGCTGGCGTCCGCTTCAGCTGTTCCGAGGTGGGAATTCATACATGACCACCGCCTAGAGGATCAATTTTCGGGGACCTCGGCTGCGGTGTACACGTACATATTCGGGCCCCTGGGGGCCAAAGTATATCCATATCCACCGCTTGCTGGGGCACCAGGACGTCGGTTCCCAGGCGGTGGATATGGATAAATCCCCGCCTCGCAACCGTGGCCCTGTCGTCCGCGGCCTGCCCGTGCTGGGTGGCCGTCTGCTCGGCGTGCTCGGGGCCTGTGCTGCTGGTCGCTGCCTGGACTTGGCCGTCCGAGTGGGCCTCCCTGCTGGGGTTTGCCTCGGGGTCTTTGCCTGGGGCCTCGGCGTCGTGCGAGTAGTCAATGACATCAGAGAAGAACCCCAACCAGTGGATGGTTTGAAAAAGGATCGAACAAGAGATCGAAAAGAGATCGACTGGGAACCTGGGAACCCGGGAACCCGGGAACCCGGAACCCACCGAAATCGGCCCGGAACCAATGACCAGGAACCCGGGGACCCGGAACCGGGAACCCAGGAACCCAGCCGGCTACCAAAATCGGTGGGAAACTTTCGCCAAACCTTGCAATGTCCGCTAGTACCCCTTCAGTGCAAGCCTTGATCGGGGAACCTCCACCCCTCCGCCTCACAGATCGATCCAGAAAGACTGGGACTAGGGCTGCGGTCGCGATTTTTGGCGATGCCGCACTCTTTTTTTGGCACTGCCGGATCTGGGGGCCGAGGCGCAGAAAGAGTGGGCGCGTGGGTCCGTATGGCAGCCTGCGCCCCGTGTCGACGCGGCGGCGGTCCCAGCGACGGCGTCCAAGCTTCGGCGCCGCCAGCGGCCCGAGCTCGGCTGATGTCGAGCGGCCTACGATTAAGTCGCGCCTGTCCCCCCACAGGGGGATTTTCGACTAGAAATGAAACACACACACCAAAAATACAAAATACACCAAAAAGGTTAACACAAATACTCAAAACATAGTCCCCAGACTATTTTTGGATTATTTTTCGATTATTTTTTGGGTATTTATTTTTCATCGACAATCCCCCTGTAGGGGGACAGGCCCGACTTAAGCCTACGAGGTCGGCAAGCCGCAATCCCAGACCCCCTCGGGTCATGACAAACATGACGACGGCGAGTTTTTCGCCATCTTCGACCCCTCGGGGCCCTCAGCGGCCCTCGGGACCGTCAGACAAGGTTTCAGGACGACAACCCGAACCCAGGGAATGGGTCCAGACCGCTGGGGGTCCGCGTCGGCGAAGTCTGGGGGGGAGGGGGCAGGAGGACAATATGGAGGAGCAGGAGGAGAATAAGGAGGAGGAGGAGGAGGAGGAGGAGGAGGAGGAGGAGGGGGAGGAGGAGGAGGAGGAGGAGGAGGTGGAGCGAGGAGGAGAGGAGGAGGAGGAGGAGGAGGAGGGGGAGGAGGGGGAGGAGGGGGAGGAGGAGGGGGAGGAGGAAGAGGAGGAGGAGGGTCTGGGATCGTTCCAGCTGGACCGGTCCACGCGGTGTCAGGGGCCGGCGCCGCCTCCGCGGCGCGGATGCCCGCCCGGCTCCAGCCACTCCGGCCCGAGGGGGCTCAGGGCGGGCCGGGGTCTCATTCAGATTTAGTGTAAGGCTTCGCCCACGCAGGGGGGGCGCCAGGTAGAAAAGGAATGATACCTTGAGTCGGGAGGTAGAAACTCACACAATCCCCAATGAGGATGCAGGAACGTGCTCTTGGGGACCATGTCAACAATGTGCGAGATGGTCGGCACGCAGGGGGCGCCAGGTAGAAAAGGAATAATACCTTGAGTCGGGAGGTATAAACTCAAACTTTCCCAATGAGGATGCATGAGCGTGCTCTTGGGGACCATGCCAACAATGTGCGAGATGGTCGGCACGCAGGGGGCGTGCCAGGTAGAAAAGGAATAATACCTTGCATCGAGAGGTATAAACTCAAACAATCCCCAATGAGGATGCATGAGCGTGCTCTTGGGGACCATGTCAGCAATGTGCTAGATGGTCGGCACGCAGGGGGCGTGCCAGGCAGAGAAGGAATGATACCTTGGATCGGGAGGTAGAAACTCAAACAATCCCCAATGAGGATGCAGGAACGCGTGCTTCCGCCCGCAGGGGACCCGAGCCAAGGCCACCTTGGAGAGTGAACTGCTCGCCCTGCGGGGCGACCGCCTTGGCCCTTCGCCACTTCAAGGAAAGAGAACCCTGCGAGGCTCCGTAGCGCAAAACAAAAAAAACAAAAACAAAAAATGAGGATGCAGGAACGCGCTTCTGGGGATCGGGAAGTAGAAAAACTCAAGCAATCCCCAATGAGGATCCTCCTCCTCCTAAGCAGAAGAAGAAAGGACGAAGACTAACTAAGAAGAAGGGGCGGAAGAAGAAGAACGAGTAAGAAGAAGTAAGATAATCTAGGGAGGAAGAAGAGAATACAGAATTAAGAAGAGGACGAATGTTAAGAAGAATGACTTGAAGAAGAAAGAATAATGAATCATATCCTACCTCATGCATATGCATACATTCATCCGCCGACATCTCCTCCTCCGCATCATCCTCATATCTCCTCCTCTCCTCCCTCCTCCTCCTCCTCCTCCTCCTCCTCCTCCTCCTCAGGAACGCGCTTCCTGAGGACCACGCCAGCAGTGTGCGACGTGGTCGGCGCCCTGCGGCAGGGCCCCGACGACAGGGCCGCAGGGGCGCCGACGACGGGCCGCCGAGCAGGCCGCCATTCGGCAGGCCGCCGCCGGCGGCCGCTGCTCGGGGCGCCTCCCTTCAGGAGGGGAGAAGACACGCAGACACAAGGAATCGTCGATTCTCCTCCTCCTCCTCCTCCTCCTTCCTCCTCCTCCTACCTTCCTCCTCCTCCTCCTCCTCCTACACACAGACACAATGAATCGTCGATTCCCAGAACATGTGCGAAAATATGGGGAGTGGGGGGGAAGACAGAAGCCCCGAAGATATGGGAAGATATGGGGGATGTGTGTATTCGTGTGTATTTGTTTGTGTGTCCCAGGGCCCCTTCATCCTTGTGGGAAGGAAGCGCCGGCGGCGGCGTCGTGGCGGCCGGCCACCGCGAGTGCATGTGCGTGCCGGGAAGCCGAGGAGGCGGAGCGGAGGAGGCAGCCCGAGCCCTGAGATCCGGCGCTGCCGTCAGAACTGCAGCATCGCGAACCACAGTCGGGGCGCCGAGAAGAAGGAGCTGGGGAGGGGCTCGCTGTCCCTTGATTGTTTTACAGTTTGCCTTGGGTTTTCCGGAGGTTTTCCATGGGAATTCGAAGTTTAACTTTT